ACCGACCAAACTGACCAGCGCATTACTTATGTTAGTAGAGATGCAGTTAGTACCATATTCTTGCCTGTCCACTAGATTAGGCCTTCTACTTCACGAACACTAGGTTATTACCTTTCCGATCCACTTAATTTGGGAGATTTCAGAGTTCTAGTTCCGCCTTGTACCTACACACAAGCGTGCATACTGACCTTACAAGCCGACACATTATTCGCTCCGTACAAATACAGTGAATACCATATGTATTCCCATTTCCTTTAAATGATACCATTCCTGTGAGAGTGCGACGGCTTATGCCAGATATGCTTGCTTGCCTTTACTTTATTATGCTATTTCTAGCATAGGATAATTATATGCATGCATGAATTGCTTGATTTCCTAGGCTAGGTGCTTTCCTATATTTTATTATAGTTATAGCACCGAGCTAGGTTGCGTGCACCGAATTCTGGCTTTTCGGTTGACACCGAATTGCCTTCTACCGAATTCGGAAAGGATCTGTTCAGGACGCTTCGCGACCCTCAGAACCTTCGCGTAACACCTGGTTACCGGGCCTTGTGTCGAGCCTATATATAGCCTCGTGTTGTACCCAGGTGATTCATTCAATTCACATTTTCTTTTCTGAGCTCGATCCTAGATCCTCACACTTGGTAATCAGAGCCCGTTTACACGCAAAAGTTTTTTGACTGCTAAAACCGAGTCTTCAAAAAACCGCGGGGGCGACGCAGTTAAACATCGATTTTCTGGTACGTAAAACCGGTTCCGTGTTTTTCGCTCCCCCTCGTTTCGGTTTTTTCGGACGCGCAATGTCAGGCATGGAGGGCCAAGGCGACAACTATGCGACCACGAGCGACATCGCAAACCTCCGCACCGACATGGAGCAGACGCAGGCGGCGTTACGACGACTCGAGGCCCTTCTGACACACCAGCCAGGAATCGCCACCGCAGCAGCAGCAAATGCAGCAGTGAACGTAGCAGCGACAACACCCGCAGCAGTGGCCACACCGACATTTCACGGACCGATGGCACCACTGTCGCCGAACCTCGAAGCAGCACGACCGAGGCTCCCTGAAGCGTTCGATCCCAGCGCGAAGGGATCCGACGTCCGGCGATTCGTGGCAACCCTCGAAATTTACTTCGAGGCCATTGGCTGTTCGACCCCGCAACATGACGCAGCAAGAATTCGGCTCGCAGCGACACTGTTACGTGGACCGGCACTCGAATGGATTTATTACACTGACGTGGCCCGCGGGAGAAAACGTGGCAGCAGTTTCGGGCAGATTTAACCGAGTGTTTCGAACCGATTAATATGACCTACATGGCGCGGCAGCAGATACACCGACACAAGCAATACAGTAGTGTAGCACAGTACACGCAGCAGATGGAGCTACTGTTCAACCGCATCACCGACCTGACCGAAGACGAAAAAATCCAGGCGTATACAGAAGGGTTAAAATTGGAGATTCAACGGCAGGTGATTGCGGCGAATTACAACAGCTATCGCGACATCGTGCGTGCTGCCGAACGATACGATGTGCTGACTCGAGGTCAACCCGAAACACGACGCTTCACGCCAAACCGTACATTCGGCACGGAGCGATCGGCACCCCCCACGTTCGCCGAACCGATGGATATCGACAAATACGACGCGAAGTAGCAGCCGACAAAATGCGAGTTTTGCGGCGCAGCAGGGCATCAGTTTTTGTCGTGCTACAAAATGAAGAAAGCACGTGCTGCACTCCAGGACGGTAATAGTGGAGCACCCCCGAAGTAAAAAAACGGGAATCGCCAGTAGCCGCGGATCGACCTGGCGATCGCGTAAAGATCCGAAAAGTAGGAAAAGGCGACGACGTGGCGACTTCAGAGCGGGTGAAAAAAGGAGAAAATGATGGCGCGAATCTAAAACGTCACGACCGGCCGGCATCAGGGGAAATCGCCGAGGCAAATGGAGGCTCCGCGAAAAAAGACTCTGCACCGACCGGGAAACTCCAGCCGAACACCCACGAAAGTAAGAATATTGCTTCTCGTGGTTTTCAAGCCTTTGAAAAATTCAGGGGAGGTTTAGAGGCCAAGAAAAAGCCTTCAGAAATTATTCAAGTACCTGAGAAGTTGGGCAAAATACTACGGAGCGTAGAGAAGGGTCGTGCGTTCCGTGGAGTTAATATTCTCTCCCCGCAGCACAGTGTTAAGGCTCCCCGTTGCCCACAGGTGAAGCCTACACAGCTGCCAAGGCTTAGAGGAAAATTCCAGGCTCCTGAGAAGTTGTACAAGCCTCGGAAAAATCCTCCTACCACCTAGGTGAAGTTGGAAGAGAAAAGTGCTGAGTCAGGTATAGGAAATAGGGATGGTATTCACTTTGATGTACTCTATGATCCTATTAATGAGACCCTCTTTCGCTACTCAGCGCAGCAGGCACCACTACTCCTTGAGGTGTTATGCAAAGGACGACGCCTCCAGGCACTGGTGGACAGCGGTGCATCTCACTCGGTGTGTGACCGCGGGACGTTGGAGAAAATTGGGGAACCTTCCGAGGAGACCAAGTTCTCGGCAAAGATAGTGGACGGTACAAAACTTCCCATCCATGGCGAAGCATCACTGCAGCTGCACATAGGGGCGCTAAGGTGGAAGCCGACGTTGCCGATCACGAACATCAAAGGGTTAGATTTCATCTTGGGACGAGATTTCTTGAAGCGGTTCAACCCCGAGATCGATTGGGTCAACTGGAAGGTGTGCATCTACAACAACGGGAAGCGGATAGCACTACGAAGCTAGACGGATACAGAGGACGTACCTGAAACGACACAGGCACGGTTCGAACAGACGGTGAATGAGAGTAACACGTGTTACCTAGCACTGGTTATGGGAGCAGCACAGGAGGAGAAGCCAAACGCAGAACTACCTGCAGCAGTGAAGGAGGTCTTGGAGCAGTACAAGGATATAATGCCCGACGACCTACCTGCAGGCGTACCCCCTGCACGCACCCACGTGTCAAACTCATATGCTATAGTCTGTGTAGGCTGTAGTGGGGTAGACAATATGGGGTACAACACTTTTAGGCTTTCCTACTTGTACCCACCTGTTTCCTAGTGCACACATTCCTCATTCTCTCACATGGTATAGAGCAGGTTCCCTAGTGGGAACGTTTCCTAGGGCCCACCGAAAATCGATTTTTTTTTTCCTGCCCGGAGCGCTCTTCGCCCCTGCCCGAGTCGCGCCCCGTGTGCCTGCCCTCCCGTCGCGTCCTCTGCCCTTAGCGGCCAGTCGCGCTCCCTTACGGCCCCATAGCAGCCCCTCTCACGGCCCCTCACGGCCCCTCTCATGGCCCTTCGCGGCCCCTTCGTGGCCCCTCGCGGCCCCTTCGCGGCCCCGTCGCCGCCCCTAGCGGCCCCGTCGCCGCCCTTCGAGGCCCCTCGCGGCCCCTTTTCGGCCCCGTCGCCGCCCCTAGCGGCCCCTTCGCCGCCCTTCGAGGCCCCTCGCGGCCCCTTCGCGGCCCCGTCGCCGCCCCTAGCGGCCCTGTCACCGCCCTTCGAGGCCCCTCGCGGCCCCTTCTCGGCCCCGTCGCCGCCCTTCGCGGCCCCGTCGCAGCCCGTCTCGGCCCCGTCGCCGCCCTTCGCGGCCCCGTCGCCGCCCTTCGCGGCCTCGTCGCCGCCCGTCTCGGCCTCGTCGCCGCCCTTCGCGGCCCCGTCGCCGCCCTTCACGGACCCTCGTGGCCCCGTCGCCACCCTTCCCGGCCCCTTCTTGGCTCCTCCGCAAACAGCAGCAGCCGCCGCCAGCAGCCGCCGACAGCAGCAGCCGTCGCCGCCGACAGCCGCAACTGCCGCCGCCGCTGACAGCAGGAGCCGCCGCCGCGGTCGCGGCCCTGTCCCTGCCGACGCGCCTCGGCCCTGCCCCACCGCTTGCGGGCCCCTACCCACCAGCCCTGGTAAGAGCACTGCCGAGCCACGCCTCCTGCTGCTGCCCCTAGCCTGCTGCCACTGCTGTCATGGCTACCCCTAGAGGCTCTCATATTCCACGTAGAGGTAGTCGGGGCGGCGAGTGATGATGGTGGCTCTGGTGGCACAAGACAACCTTTCACATGCACTATCCCACTCATACCATCCACATCCCGTTCAAGGCCACCCATCCAGGGCACTCATCCCACGCGCCTTACTCACTCACCCCCATGAGCGGGCTCTCATATTCCACGTAGAGGTAGTCGGGGCGGCGAGTGATGATGGTGGCTCTGGTGGCACAAGACAACCTTTCACATGCACTATCCCACTCATACCATCCACATCCCGTTCAAGGCCACCCATCCAGGGCACTCATCCCACGCGCCTTACTCACTCACCCCCATGAGCGGGCTCTCATATTCCACGTAGAGGTAGTCGGGGCGGCGAGTGATGATGGTGGCTCTGGTGGCACAAGACAACCTTTCACATGCACTATCCCACTCATACCATCCACATCCCGTTCAAGGCCACCCATCCAGGGCACTCATCCCACGCGCCTTACTCACTCACCCCCATGAGCGGGCTCTCATATTCCACGTAGAGGTAGTCGGGGCGGCGAGTGATGATGGTGGCTCTGGTGGCACAAGACAACCTTTCACATGCACTATCCCACTCATACCATCCACATCCCGTTCAAGGCCACCCATCCAGGGCACTCATCCCACGCGCCTTACTCACTCACCCCCATGAGCGGGCTCTCATATTCCACGTAGAGGTAGTCGGGGCGGCGAGTGATGATGGTGGCTCTGGTGGCACAAGACAACCTTTCACATGCACTATCCCACTCATACCATCCACATCCCGTTCAAGGCCACCCATCCAGGGCACTCATCCCACGCGCCTTACTCACTCACCCCCATGAGCGGGCTCTCATATTCCACGTAGAGGTAGTCGGGGCGGCGAGTGATGATGGTGGCTCTGGTGGCACAAGACAACCTTTCACATGCACTATCCCACTCATACCATCCACATCCCGTTCAAGGCCACCCATCCAGGGCACTCATCCCACGCGCCTTACTCACTCACCCCCATGAGCGGGCTCTCATATTCCACGTAGAGGTAGTCGGGGCGGCGAGTGATGATGGTGGGTGTGAAGCCATCGGGCTTGGTGGCTGTCACCTGGGGCAGCGAGGTTGAAAGGAGTAAGGGAGGGGATGGAAAAGGGGCGGGAGAGAGGGGTGGAGAACAAGCAGGGGCGTGTGGAAAGTAAGGCACGAGCGATGCTGATGGTGGGTGTGAAGCCATCGGGCTTGGTGGCCGTCACCTGGGAAGCGAGGTTGAAAGGGGCACGGGCGGGGATGGAAAAGGGGCGGGAGAGGGGTGAGGAACGAGCAGGGGTGAGTGGAGAGTAAAACGCGGGTGATGAGGGTAAGCGTGAAGCCATCAGCCTTGGAGGACGTCACCCGAGGAGGCGCGCAAGGGGGGTGAAAAGAAAAGGAGGATGGAGGGGTGGCTGGCAGGTGGGAAGGGGTGTTGGGGCAGGGGGGGGGGGTTGGGTTGCGGAAAAGGGGGGTTTTGGAATGGAGGAGAATGGAATGGGTGGACAGCGGGTGCGTGGGCGTTGATTACAGTGCTAAGAGTAATCGAGAGCGTGAAACGGGAAGAATCGGGAAAAATGAAATGCGAGGGGAGAGATGCGAGGGGAGAGATGCGAGGAAGGATCTGTTCAGGACGCTTCGCGACCCTCAGAACCTTCGCGTCCCTCAGAACCTTCGCGTAACACCTGGTTACTGGGCCTTGTGTCGAGCCTATATATAGCCTCGTGTTGTACCCAGGTGATTCATTCAATTCACGTTCTCTTTTCTGAGTTCGATCCTAGATCCTCACAATTTCCCACCCCCCTACCATGCTTTAACCTATTGGATCTATGTAATTTGGCTGATAAAGACATTTCAGTCGTACATGGTACCTGCACTACATACGCGCATAGCGACCAAACTGACCAGCACATTACTCATGTTTGTAGAGATGCAGTTACTACCATATTCTTGCCAGTCCACTAGATTAGGCCTTCTAGTTCAACAACACTAGGTTATAACCTTTCCGATCCACATAATTTAAGAGATTTCAGAGTTCTAGTTCCGCCTTGTACCTACACACAAGCGTGCATACTGACCTTACCAGCCGACACATTATTCTCTCCGTACAAATACAGTGAATACCATATGTATTCCCATTTCCTTTAAATGATACCATTCCCCATCCCCATACAATGTTTTAACCTAACAAATCTATGAAATTTGGTAGATAAAAACATTTCAGTCGTTCATGGTACCTGCACTACAGGCGCGCATACCGACCAAACTGACCAGCGCATTACGTATGTTGGTAGAGATGCAGTTGGTGTCATATTCTTGCCAGTCCACTAGATTAGGCCTTCTAATTCAACAACACTAGGTTATAACCTTTCCGTCCAGATAATTTGGGAGATTTCAGAGTTCCAGTTCCACCTTGTACCTACACACAAGCGTGCATACTGACCTTACCAGCCGACGCATTATTTTCTCCGTACAAATACAGTGAATACCATATGTGTTCCCATTTCCTTTAAATGATACCATTCTCCACCCCCCTACCATGTTTTAACCTACCCGGATCTATGTTATTTGGCTGATAAAGACATTTCAGTCGTACATGGTACCTGCACTACAGGCGCACATACCGACCAAACTGACCAGCACATTACTCATGTTTGTAGAGATGCAGTTACTACCATATTCTTGCCAGTCCACTAGATTAGGCCTTCTGCTTCAACAACACTAGGTTATAACCTTTCAAATCCACATAATTTAAGAGATTTCAGAGTTCCAGTTCCGCCTTGTACCTACACACAAGCGTGCATACTGACCTTACGAGCCGACACATTATTCTCTCCGTACAATTATAGTGAATACCATATGTATTCCCATTTCCTTTAAATGATACCATTCCCCATCCCCCTACCATGTTTTTACCTAACGAATCTATGAAAGTTGGTGGATAAAGACATTTCAGTCGTACATGGTACCTGCACTATGTTGGGTGCAAACATTTATTCTTGCACGTCAACCAGTCGCCTGCGTCGCATTTTGCATTTTGTGTGTGTGCGCATTTTCATTTTCATTTTGCGATGTTCTTGTTGAGATAGTAAGCATAGTGAGGAGCCATAGCTAGGGTTTAGCTAGCTAGGCAAGAGAGAAATGAAGAAAGGAGGAGTTTCACTAGCAGCAGTTGGGATACATATAGCAAACCCTAATAGGGTTGTACTCGCTATAGAGCACCCCACTACAGGCTAGATAATAACATTCTGACACACCCCCATAGCCAAAGTGGGGTGTAATCAGCAGAGCACACAGTCATAGAGCAGGTTCACAATGGCAAGCAAAGCTAGAGGCTATCACAGAGGGCAAGTGAGGAGGAGGAGAGTACTGTGGACGGAGAGAAGATGGGAGGCAACGACTGAAGCTGCAGAGGCACGGGCACAGGAGCGGCTGACTCAGTGGCTACCGAAGCAAGGGCGACGGACTACTGGAGTGACTGGCTCCGCGGCTATAGACGAGCGGCAGGAGCAACGGACCCACGGGCGACTGGTGCAACAGGCTCACTGGCTACCGAAGCAAGGGCGACGGACTACAGGCGCTGCAGGCGACACGACAGCTACCTCCACACAACCTCCTCCAACTGACCCACACCCTTGACACACACCTCCTGCTGAACCCCTAACTCCACTCCCACGTCACCCCCCTAGCACCACTCCTTCGGCTCCCACACACCCACCCCCCTGAGCGGCAGCTGCAGCAGCGGGAGACGGAGGAGGAGGAGGAGCAGGGGACGGCGCACACAACCGGCACCCCCACAACCGTCACCCCCACACTCCCCACCCCCAAACCCTAAAACGGGTGGCACGGGATAGGAGCGCGGGGGACGGCGAGAGGGACGGCGCGCGGCCCCCAGGGCACCACCACGGGGCAGCGAGGGGCCACGCGCGGCTCCAGGGGTGGCGCGCGGTCCCCAGGGCGCCACCACGGGGCAGCGAGGTGAGAGAATGAGAACGAGAATGAATGAACTATGAAATGAAGTGAGTACAAATATGAAACCCTAATTGGTTGTACCCCCTATGGGATACCCCACTATAGCCTACACAACAGCATAAGCTATAATGTTCTGACACACCCCCATAGGCAAAGTGGGGGAGAACAAGGGGTCACAAGACCAGTCAAGCAAAGCAAAGCAAGCTCAGGGTGGATCACAAAGTCACCACACAGTCTGAGCACAGGGTCAAGGCCACACTGCCAGTTCACATGCAAGAGTACACACACATATATATATAAAGCTAGACAAGCAAGAGCAGGTAAGAGTACAAGCAAGGTCAAGAGGAGAGCAAGTGAGGCAAGACGGGCACAAGACCCAGCTGAGTGCAGAAGCGCTGATGATCACAAGGCGGAAGTGCCTTGGTGAAGACATCAGCAGTGTTGGCCTCAGAGGCCACGTACGCAAGCCGCAACTGTCCACGTTGCTGTAGCTCACGAGCAAGGAAGTAGCGGAGAGCAATGTGCTTTGTTCTGTGCTCCAGTCGCTGCTCTCGACACAAGGCCAGCATGGCCTTGTTGTCTACGTACAGGACTGGAGGAGAACGAGGCGGCTCTCCAAGGTCGGTCAGCAGGTAGGTGAGCCAGCGAAGCTCCTGTGCAGCCATGGCCCCGGCGTAGATCTCAGCCTCACAACTGGAGCCGAGAACAGAAGACGAGCGGGTAGCCCGCCACGAAACAGAGCCGGAACCAAGGCTGAAGGTGTAACCCTGTGATGACCGCTGCGTAGCCTGGTCGTCAGCCCAAGAAGCGTCCGCGTGCCCAGTGAGGACCACTGGACTCCGCCCTCCAAGCACTAGCCCCATGCCCGACGTACTGCACAAGTAGCGCAACACCCTCTTCGCTGCAGCCATGTGCTCTGGTCTGTGTCTCCCAGGAGCAACATAGCGTGCAAGAATGCTAAGAGGGTATGCAAGGTCAGGTCGTGTGCAGGTCATCAGGTACATGAGGCAGCCAACAAGCTCTGGGTACGGGCCACTCGACTCTACGGACTCATCCGAAGGCAGAGCTGAGAGCGAGTGGCGAGTAGACAGAGGAGTGGCCTGAGGCGAGGAGTACGTGAAGCCGAAGCGCTGAAGGACCTGCTGCACCATGTGTGACTGAGTCAGGGTAATGGTGCGGCGTGCTCTGTCCCGGGTGATCTGCAAGCCAAGGTAGCTGCGCAGTTCACCCAGGTCTGTGCACGTGTGTCTCTTCTGCAGCTCGGACTTCACGTAGGCGAGTCCAGCAGTGTCAGCTGTGGCAAAGACCAAGTCGTCGACGTACACGAGGATGTAGAACGGCGGCAGAGAGGTGTCGGTGCGTAGAAACAGCGACGGGTCGGCAGTAGAAGGAGCAAACCCAAGAGCCGCAAGCGTAGTCCTCAGTGTGTCGTGCCACTCACGTGGCGCCTGGCGGAGACCGTAGACTGGACGCCGGAGACTCCACTGGGTACCAGGAGGGAAAGACCCAGTGAAGCCAGGTGGGCGACGCAGCCAGATCTCCTCGTGCAGGCTGCCCTGCAAGAAAGCTGTGCTGAAGTCAAGAGAGTGAAGCTCGTAGTCACGGTGAGCAGCAACGTGCAGCAGTACCCGAAGAGTGGTCATCTTCGGGGTGGGGGAGAAGGTCTGAAAGTAGTCAACTCCCTGCTGCTGACTGAAGCCACGAGCCACGTAACGCGCCTTGAAGACAGGCGGAGAACCCGGCGGCCGCTTCACCCTGAAGATCCACATGCCACTGACGATGTTCGCCCCAGGAGGGGGGACAGCGTCAACGTAGGTGCCTGTGGACTTCCAGGAAGCCATCTCTGCATCCATAGCTGCCTGCCACTGAGAGGAGTAGGGACCCTCTATCGCCTCCGCGTAAGAGCGCGGAGTCGGGATGTCAAGTGCATCCGGGTCTCCCTCAGGGGTAAGCAGTACGGACACGAGATGAGGTGAGGCAGCTGCCAGACACTGGAACTCCTCCTGCCTGTCCTCAAGGACGTCCGTGCCAAGGGCACACTCACCCCCGACGGACGGAGGACAGACAGACTCAGACTCAGCGACAAGACTAGCAGCGTAGTCTAAGCGACAGCGAGCAGCAAAGTCGACGAGCTCAGTAACGAGAGCAGACGCAGCAGTAGACTCGAAAGAAGGGTCAGTGACAACAGTAGCAAGGAGACGCGTGACAGTAGGACTGGCAGCACGAAGAGAGTCCGACTCCGGGTCGGCAAGAGCAGGAAGAGAGGACTCAGGAGGAGAAGGCAAAGGGGCACGCAGAGGAGCAGTGGACGGACGCAGAGACATCCGGTGCGTGCCAGGGACAGGAGGAGGACGCTGACGCGAACCGCGACCAC